ATAGAGCTCATAATCATCGTTTGATTTTTGATATATGTGCAGAAAGTTTACGACCACCAATATTACCTGAAATGCCTAATGATTATGCACAAATGATGCAGAGGTGTTTGGATGTGGATTCATCAAAAAGACCAACTAGTGAAGAGCTTCTATATTTTGCTAAAATAAGAGTTTGAAAAGCAATAATAGTTTAATAAGAAGATTATTCAAGAAGCTTGAAATTGATTTTAATAATGATGGTGGTAGTGATTCGCAACAAATACATAAATCACATCCAGATGCATATCATACAAGTAGATGAAGAAATTGCCAAATATAGCCCAAACTATCCGTTAAATTGAGATTCACTGTGTACTTTTATTTATTATTGATTTTTTAATAATAAAAAAATTTTTTTTTTGAATACTGTGAGATCAAAATCCATGTCTCACACAAATCTCTAGATTTTATTTATGATGATATGCCAACAATGTTAATCCAATTTCTTCTGATTTATTTATACTAAATCGTAATAACAATTTTCATGAATGTATATTTATGCTTTACTCTCAAAACTATCTTTTACTATCAAAAAAAATACATACGTTTGTTCATAAATCTCCTTTTTGTTTCTTTGCGATTTTTTTTACTTACTGTCGAAATACATTTACAAATTACTAAAAAAAAATTATTAAAAAATACTTGAAGTAATTTCTTCGTATTTCTTTCTCCTCTTTCTTTTCTTTGCACTATTAAATACATTTCATTTTTATCTGACGGGTGCGTTACAAAAACAACAAAATAAAGAATAAAGAATGAACCATCTTGGCTATAATAATCACTTCGGTCATAATCTGAATATTAATTTTCTCCGTCATAATCAATTTAATAATGACCACAACTACTTAACAAGAGATCAAATTTTGATTGCAGCAATTCAGCTTATAACAACTGCTATGGGAACGGCTGCAACAGCCACCACAGAGACAGCAATTATAATAATAATTGTCAATCTACTAATTGTTTCCTTGTTAGTTATAATAAAAATAAGATTTGATAATAATAACGACAATAATAATGATAATATAATTCCTTGATTTAATTAATTAATCTGTTGTTTTTCTTTTTTTCTTTTAATAATTATTATATCTAAATTTTTTTTGTATTATGAAATTATTTTTTCAAAAATAAACACCTTCCAAAGCCGGTAAAGGCGAGTGATCTTTCTCGCAGATTGGCTCCTTTTTTCGGTAAAAAAAATTGTGTCGTGCATGCAATGCTTCGAATGAGCCAGTAAAATTCTATTGTTTCAAACCCAATGGTAAATTTCAAAAAAAAAATTTTTTTCGATCTACGTGATTCTTTTATTAATTTTTAGTGACCGGCCGTATTTATTATTATAATATTTAATTGAAAAGTATATTTTTGGTATTTTATTAATATATAATGAAATTAATCCGAAAAAAAATCATGTTTTTTATTGCAAGTTTTTACATAATTAGTTAAATCAATAAAATGAAAAACAGGGATATGTATTAAAATTATAACCCATAGTTATAAAAAAATCGCGTGTAACACGACAGTTGAGTGTAAGGTTGTGGGCGAAACCTCCTTAGTAATTGCTGAAACCACAGTAAAACTATATTAAATCTTATCAAAAATACTGTTGAAATTATGCCGAAAGGGCGAAACCTCAAAATGCGAAACTCTGCCAAAACTCTAATGTGTAACCTGCCGAAACCCTGCTGATTGATTTCTGGATGAGTTTTGGCAAGCAACCTTAGTTGAGTGCGGGGTTTGTGTTATATAAGAAATGCGCGGATTTTGTGATCACTAAAAAAATTTTTTTATTAATATACAGTATATAAAAATAAAAACAATAAATATTTTTTTTAACAAGTGTTTCTTTCATTTTTATTTGCCCAATGTTCATATGCTATTTTAAAATCAAAAT